ACCTTGCTGCTTTGGTTACTATGGCTTTGTAGTATAATTTGATTTCAGTCAGCATGGTTCCTCCAACTTTGTTCTTCTTTCTCAAGATTGCTGTGGCTATTGGGGGTCTTTTTTTAGTTCCATATGAATTTTTGGATTATTTATTCTAGTTCTGTGAAGTATGCCATTAGTATTTTTATAAGAATTGCATGGAATCTATAGATTTGGGTAGTATGGACATTTTAATGATGTTAATTCTTCCTATCCATGAGCACAATATATTTGTTTATATCTTCTTCAATTTCTTTTTTCAGTGTTTTATAATGTTTCAAGTACAGGTCTTTTACCTCCTTGGTTAAATTTAGCCTTAGGTACGTTTTAATGCAATTGTAAATGGGATTGTTTTCTTAGTTTCCCTGCTTGCCCTTTCTGATAGCTCATTATTGGTGTATAAATATGCAACCAATTTCTGAATATTTATTTTGTATCCTGCTCCTTTACTGGATTCCTTTATCAGTTTTAATAGCCTTTTGGTGGAATCTTTAGGGTTCTCTCTATATATATCAGTATTATGTCATCTGCAAATAATAAAAACTTTACTTCTTTCCGATTTGGATATCTTTTATTTCCTCTTCTTGTCTGATCGAGTGGCTAGGACTTACAGTACTATGTTGAATAAGAGTGGTAAAGCCCTAGACCAGCGGTTCTCAACCCGTGGGTCGCGACCCCTGTGGCGATTGAATGACCCTTTCACAGGGGTCGCCTAAGACCATCCTGCATATCAGATATTTACATTACGATTCATAACAGTAGCAACATTACAGTTATGAAGTAGCAACGAAAATAATTTTATGGTTGGGTCACAACACGAGGAACTGTATTTAAAGGGCCAGAAGGTTGAGAACCACTGCCCTAGATCAAGCATGTCAAACTCGAGGCATGAGTTTGACATGCTCAATGGTTTGGCTCAGTGGATAGAGCGTTGGCCCTTGGACGGAAGGGTTGTGGGTTCGATTCTGGTTGAGAGCATGTGCTTCTGATGGTCAGGGCATGTGCAGAAGGCAACCAATTGATGTGTCTCGCTCACGATGTCTCTCCTCCCTTCCACCCTCTCAAAAAAAAAGTGGTGTCTGGCCAGCGGTGTGGCTCAGTGATTGAACATCGACCTATGTCCTGGTTCAATTCTCAGTGAGGGCACATGCCAGCTTGTGGGCTCCATCCCCAGTAGGGGGCGTGCAGGAGGCAGCCAATTGATGGTTCTCTCTCATCATTGATATTTCTACCCCTCTCTCCCTCTTCTTTCCTCTATGAAGTTAATAAAATATATTTTTTTAAAAGAAAAGATTTTTTAAAATACATCCCTATCTTATTGTGATACTAAGGGAAACACTTTTAACTTTTCCCCATTGAGTATGATGTTAGATGTGTTTGTCATATATGGCCTTTGTTATGTTAAAGTATGCTCCCTCTATTCCCGCTTTGCTGAGTTTTTATCATAAAGGGCGCTGAATTTTGTCAGATGCTTTTTCTGCATCTATTGATATCTATTGATCATATCTATTGGTATGACCATATGATTTTAATCCTTCCTTTTGTTTATATGATGTATCACATTAATTAATTTGCTGATATTGCACCAACCTTGCATCCCTGGAATAAATCCCATATGGTCATGGTGTGTTTTCTTTTGAATGTATTGCTGGATCCGATTTGCTAATATTTTGTTGAGGATTTTTCCATCTATGTCCATCAGGGATGCTGGCCTATAATTTTCTTTCTTTGTGGTGTCTTTATCTGATTTTGGATTAGGATAATGCTGGTGCATGTGCAGGCTTGTATTTCTGGGTGCCTGGGTGAGTGAGACCGAGAAAGGCAGGTTTGTGAGGAGTTATGTAGACAGACAAATGGAGACGGGCAGCCCTGTCTTGGGATTGGCAGAAGCCAGGCATAGGAAAGAAGAGGCAGAGACTGACAGATAGAAAAGGCAAGAAACACAGAGACTAAAAGAGTCATCAGAAAAAATACATAGCTGAGACTGTCAGACACTTCGGGCTCTTGGCCCAGCGTGTGCCAGTCCCAGAGAGCGAGCTCCTCACAGGGCGTTCTGTGCTCCAGCAACCACACAGCGCCCTCTCCTGGACGGCACAGGCCTGGCAGGCGCAGGGCCGGCCACCCTCCCGTGTCTGCATGGGAACCACCTTCTGCGCCTGCGGTTTGGAGGCAGGTCTGGCCTTCAGCCACCATGATGCTCCCATT